AAGTCTTCTAGTCCTTGCTTTGCTGAAAGTTTAACTTCTCAATAACGACTAAAACAAGCTTTATTCGTAAGTTGAAGTTCTGAGGTCATTTATTTTTGTCAGCAATGAGGTCATTCGTGATAAAAATAAAACTAGCGGCAAGGGCGAAGCCCATGTGGTCATTTACAATACTGCGATGGTAGAGTTTAAGAGTTGTGCTTCAATATAGAGACAGTCCTTATGGTCTGGAGGTAAGAAACTGGGCAGTTATGGTCATGAGTGGAGAACATGTCTATCAAAACTCACGATTGAAGCCAGTTAATTTATAATATTTAGGGTTAGGAAGTGGTGAAGTTCTTGTATGACCAATGAACTCATTTTCAACTCCTTACTTAAGTTTGAATTAATATAGCTTGCTTTCTATCCCAAATACCAGGTGTTACAATCTTTGAAAATTCATTTTTCCTCGGAAGCATTGCATCATAATTGAAAAACATTCTTGAAATCATCATTGGGTTCAGAGATTTGAAACCTTATACGTAATGGATTTTCTTTCTTTTTAGCTACTTCATTGAATGGTGAATATATAACAAACTGACAGTCATGAGTTCCATCTTCATTTTCATTAAATTCATAATGAAAGTCTATAAGTTGTGGCGACTACCTTCTTCCTTCAGTTGTGCAAGAAACTCACGTAAAGGCTGTAAAGTTTGTACTTCAATGTTGAACTTTTTCTCGAACATCTCATTAAATGAAATCATACATTGCAACAATGTTGTATCGTCTTTAAAGTATTTGTATATGTGAATGTTTTGGGCGCTTAAAGACTGTTCGTCATTTTCTATCTCGACTTGAAGTATAAAGTCAACCTTTCTAAAAGCACGTGTTATATACATAGATGTTATGCCAATGTACTTCTCTTCATTTATGTTCAAATCCAGTCTGTTGAAACTTAAACGTTACTTCTGTTCCCCTTTATTTTGACGTCAGGGTTTTCACTACTGAACGCAACAGTTAAAGGTATTTGTCTATACATTTAATTCGGATAAAAATAAACCATTTACTTTTCTTCACTTCAGCTTCTTTAGCTTTTGCTTCAGCTTCTTCTCTAGCTTTTTTCGCAGCAACGTGGGTTCTTTTGTCTTCCAGCAGCTAATGCAGCAAGTTGTTTTTCACTAAGTTTTCTCTTTGGTCTCTCTGGCTTTTGTTCTTGTTTTTGTTCCTTCAGTTCGGATAAAATTTGCTCACGAATTTCTTTCTTTAATGCTTCAACATCTATGACCCCTTTGGGTCTTGACCGTAGGGCTTGTCTGAGTCATTTGACTGCAGATAAAAAACAAAATTAAAACTTTAACGATTGTAAAATGAGCTTGTCAAAATCAGAGCGAGAGTCTATTATATTAAATGACGCAAGAGGAATACAACATTTTCTATTACGTAAGTCAGAGTAAAGATGGTAAATATACGTAAGAAAAGAAAGGTTCCATTAGCGAATGCCAGAAAGCGACAACATTAAGGTGCATGGCACCGAGGGCGAAGCCCATATAAAACCTTCTGTTCAAACTGAGCCCAAAAGAACAGAAGAAAAGAAAGATGTACTTTCAATAACGAACCAAGAGCTTATTGCAAAGTTCGTGAATTTCATTGAAAAGCAAACCGAGTCAAAGAACCCTGAACCAGTGAAAGAAGTTGAGACAAAAGAGAATGTACAGTTCATTGAAAATGTCAAGAAACAACTTCCACCACGAATGCCAAGAAGAAGAGTGAGAATAATGAAGTAAATAGATATTTTTATCTGAAGTAAATACATGCAGAACGAACAGTTAAACGAATTTACTCCAGCAGAGCATATTCATCAGATTCGCTCATATTTCGATATCATAGACAATGCAGTTCAAATTGTGACACTAATAGAAAATATTCTGACGCAAGATTCACAACCTGGAACTGCTAAAGATAACACATGGGTAACATTCAATCTCTCACCTCCTGGTGAAAATATGTTGGACCTTTACAATACATTCATTACGTATAAAATGGAAGGTCAATTTATTGCAGATAAAGAAATTTGGTTCAGGTTCAATAAAACAAACCCACCAGGATTTTGGATTGGTTTCGATGACGCTTTCTATGCAGTTGCTGGATATCAAATCCTTGCAAATGGTCGTATCGTATATTCTCAAGACAACGCAAGAGAAGAAGCATATATAACTTCAAACTCACAAACTACCGAACAAATAAAGAAAGTAGATGTTTTCTCAAAGACTCGACATGAAGATGTATGGAGTCATTCGGGAACATGCAGAACAGGACAAATTGTTAGTGGTCCAATTACAGCAGGAAATATCATTTGATTTTAAGCTTCGTTTAAGAATTCCTGTTAGAAGATTCCTTCCATTAGAAAGCTATTCGATTTCCAGCTTTTGCAGGAAACATTCAGCTTAAAGTAAAGTTCAGTAGCGACGCTTACAATGCACATCTATATCTGTAAATGATATCATTGCTTTCAATCCAACTCTTAAAGTTGCATTTGCTTCAGATTCAAATCCACGACAAATAATTTGTTCCATGGAATGAACCATTCACTATGATAACGAAGGCAGTAGAAGCTAGTGGAACAGTTACTATTACAACTGTAACCCAGCAACTATTTCGAACAAAGATGGATTTTAATGAATGTTTCATTCATCCAAGTCATTCTCTTTAGACCCTAATTTATACAGAACTTGTAGAACATTATACAAACGAGGCTTTATGTTTTCCTGTTAAAGTTATGGATTGGATTCCTATGGACGGTTCATTCTCAAGAATACAGATAGTTCAAGTGCAACATTTACAGCAGCTTATACGCCTATTAATGTTAAAAGTATTTGGGCACTATTTAGAAAGAAAGACAACTATTATGTTAATTTTGAGAACCCTAAGTTTAAATTCTTCAGCTTTCCATGGGAGCTTATGGAAATATGCCTGCAGAACCTGAAAAATCATATGGACCTGTATTTTATGAAATGGTTGCGAACGCCTGCAATACAAACAATGATATGATAGGATTTAATGAAGATGTTATGAGGTCATTGGTGGATGATGGTAGTGTGGAACATAAATGGGATAGCTATGACAACACACATTTCTTATGTGGTTTTCCAACAGAAGTGGACTTTTGCTTCCAGCAAGGTCAAACATCTACTGCTCCAATAACATACAATTGTCTGTTAAAGGACTATTGAACTAGCAACTGAAAACGTACCAAAGCCACTTATTGGATTTATGAGGGATTGTTGCTTTGCCATTCAGGTGCGTGCTAATGGCATCCCATAATAAGATTAGATGACTATAACTTAGCCACGGACGACAGTGAGGAATAAAGGATGAACGTTTATTTTTAAAGCTTATAAATGAGTTCTTCATCAAGCTCTCGCGAACCTTCACCATCTATGAAACAAACTTTACCAAACGATTATGGAGCAACCTATTGAATATTTCTTACGAGCTGCACAATGGCAAAGAGCAGTCTCACCAAGGTTAGGTGTTCCACCAGCTCCTGTCAAAATAGCATTTGGTCAAGTCCTTATATAAAATTGGTCTCCACTAGGTTTGCTAGCTACAGCAGGAGCAGTAATGATGTTGAAAAGAAATAAAGCAAATGTTGTAAATAATACTGAAGTAGCTGAAGTTAAAAAACTCCAACACCTTCGCCAAAACCAACGCCTTCACAAGCAAAAACCTTCAATAACTCCTGAACCTATGGAAGTACAAACTCCTGTTCAAAAGTCAACTCCTAAACCGACTCCAACATTTAAACCAGAACCTACTCCTCAAATAAATCGTAAAACTCTGCGTTTCCTTACTGAAAAAATAACGTTATTTTTATTTAATATTAAAATTTTTATTTGATTGAAATGACGACTAAAGTCACTGAAGCAATGAAACAAAAGTTTTTGGTAGAATACATTAAATCAGGAATTATTCCAGAAGGTTTTTACATTCATACTATGAAGGATGGTAGAGTTCAGTTTAGAAAGATAAAGCAACCATTAGATAAAGAAGGAATTTTGAGAAAGATTAAACTTCATGAGGACAACATTGCTGAACTTAGGAAGAAGTTAGAAGAGTTGAGAAAGGAAGAGAGTTATAAAGCAATGAATTCAACAGGGTGAAAAAACAGGTGAAAAAGAGGTGAGATCTCACCACTTCACCTAAATTTATTTTTGCGCTATGTTTTCATACGTGTGAGGGTGGTGATATCATTAATTTTTAAGTTTATTTTTAAATAATTTTTTATTTTATTTTTATATAAATGACGAAAACTATTGAGATAACAAACTACAACGGTCATGAGTTCAAGAATTTGTTCTTCGTTCCTCGTGAAAATACATTCTATCAGATACGAGGGATAAAGGGTAAAGTTAGTTTGAGCGTTTATGAAGGAATGAAGAATGGAAAGTTTATACAAGCATACGATACAAACGGTAAACGTGTTTCATTAGCTTTGTCAAAACTTACTAACATTCATTTTGACAGTGATTTTGACCTATATGAAGAAGAAAGTGAGTCAGAAGATTATGAGCTGTTATGTGAAGCACAGCAATGGGAGGAGTTGCAATACTTTTGTAAGTGAGAACGTTTATTTTTACATTAATGAAGTCGTTTGTGAAAACGTTAGTGAAGTGAAGTGGTTGGCGGCTTTGTAAATATTTAAGGTTAAGTTAGTATTGTCGTTTGTGTTGTAAAATATACGTTAACGGTTTTGTAAAGTGTCAAATTCACAAGTATTGGGTAAGGTGGAACGCAGTGCCACCATACACGACTTAGGGATACTAACTGACATATATAAATCGGAGGAGTTTAAGACCTACGACAACTTTGTTTCGTTAGTTGCTGAATGTGTATGGCAGATAAGAGATAAAGATAAAAGAGGTAAAGTATGGAACGAACAAATAAAACCAGCAACTTTTGAGTTAAAGAAAACCATTGACGCTATAGTTGTACTTGCAGGACAAATTTCAATGTACAATGCTAAAATGAACCCACAATGTTCTAAATGTAAAGCAGCAATGAGGAAATATAACTACTCCGTCAAAGAGATAGAACGTATGCGAAACGACTATGCTGACTTAAAGAAAGAAGCAGAGAAACCAGCAGAAAATAAAATGGACATGTTAGAATTTCTAAACAAAAACTATCCAACTGCTGACGATTTCCTTCTTTCAGATGTCAAGAAGAAATATAAAGATACATTCAATATTGTGAAAACTTTTGACATACTGACAGAAGAAATAGAAGCTACGAAATTGTTTAGAATTTCAAATATACATCGTACAATTCATGTAAAACGCTTATAAAAAAAAGAGGTGAGAAAAGAGGTGAGAAAACGGGTGAGATCTCACCTCTTCACCTAAAATATATTTTTGCTGAGTAAAATGACCAAATTTCATTATATAACTGTTATTTTTTACGAAGAGAACTTTTGCACTTCGTCAAAAAAATCCCTGAAATCATATCTTTTATACAAAATTCAAGAGGTGAGAAAGAGGTGAGAAAAGAGGTGAGATTCACCTCTTCACCTAAAATATATTTTTGCCGAGTAAAATGACCAAATTTCATGAATTTCCTCATATGTTTGCTACCCTCGAAAAACTGAGGGAAGAGATTCCATTCGAAAACAGTGAAAAAATGACCAAATTTCATTATATAACTGTTATTTTTTGACGAAGAGAACTTTTGCACTTCGTTTAAAATACACTATTTGTGTTATTTTTTACGAAGAGAACTTTTGCACTTCGTCAAAAAAATCCCTGAAATCATATCTTTTATACAAAATTCAAGAGGTGAGAAAAGAGGTGAGAAAAGAGGTGAGATCTCACCTCTTCACCTAAAATATATTTTTGCTGAGTAAAATGACCAAATTTCATTATATAACTGTTATTTTTTGACGAAGAGAACTTTGACACTTCGTAAAAAAAATCCCTGAAATCATATCTTTTATACAAAATTCATGAAGAATACGAGTGGGTTCAGTTTAACACAACTCCGTCTCATTCGTTCGGTCAAAGACGATATGTACCAAATGCAAAGTATTTTGACAGTATGTTTTGCTCCAGAAACCAAACACGCAGACGACTGGTTCAAAAACCAAAAGCACACAAGAATTTTTGAGTGAAATTTCTCTAGACCGACTTTTTTTCGGTCTTGCATAAACACATGAAAACAGTGAAAAAATGACAAATTTCATTATATAACTGTTATTTTTGACGAAGAGAACTTTTGCACTTCGTAAAAAAAATCCCTGAAATCATATCTTTTATACAAGATAGAAAAAATAAAGTTAGTTTTTTTAAAAAAAATTTTTATTTTGTATGTAAAGACAGAAAATGAACAAACACTGAGTTTGAAACAGTTAGAAAGATAGACAATGACACCAAAATGGTTAGAATATGTGATTTAAACGTAGATACTCAAAGAAATACAACAAATATTCTTTGTCAGACATTCTAACACTATCTGGAAAGAAAACATCCCACGACTGGTTAGAACTGCTTCTACTCAGAAAATTTTGACAAGAAATCCTGAGCTTATGATATCGGTAAGATTCTATGGAACTGCAGCATATCTCATCGACAAAAGTCTTATACCAATAGTTTTGTTATGGTTAGACCCAGTTGTTGGATATAACTTCATAACATATGGTTCATATACGGAACGTTTGCAGTGAAGGCTTACTTTACATCGTTCAGAAACCGAAGGACTTCAATACAAAGAGATATAAGATAGGAAGAACATATAATATAACTCAAAGATATGACAGTACAGTCAATAGAGTCAAGGTTGTGTTTGTTAACGATATGAGAGCTGCTGAAACAGAACTACTTGAAAAGTTTGAGAAAATGTATGGTGCTCCCACGAAAGGTAAAGAAACGTTTGAAGTAGATGAGATAGATAAAGCTATAAAATTATTTGACGAAGTTGCTGAAAAATACATGTAAAGCGTTTATTTTTGGTCTTTTGTGAAAGTAAGAAAATAACGCTAATTTTTTATAAAATATTTTTTTTATTTTGTATGTAAAGACAGATATGTCAACAACAGAGAAACAACAACTGCTATCGTTCATGAAGATATAAATGAAGAATATGAGTACATACAGTATAACAAACAGTTACGTCTCATTCGTTCGTCAAAGATGACATGTACCAAATGCAAAGTATTTTGAATGCTCTTCGTTCTACAAAGCAAGCATATCATTGGTTTGAAAACCAGCAGACAAAAGAACTTTTAGAAGAATTTCCTCATATGTTTGCGACCCTCGGAAAACCGAGGGTCGAGATTCCGTACGAAAATCGTGAAAAATTGCCAAACGGTTTGAGAGGATATTATGTACATAGACTTTTAGTAAATGCTGTAGCAATGTGGGCTTCACCTCGTTATGCTTGTTATATTTTCATGATGTTAGATGAAATTCATAGACAAGAACGTGAAGAGATGGAAAAGAAACTTCAAGCAAAAGATGAAGTCATTGAATCCAAAGACAAAAACATACAGAAAAGAATACCACGTTCGGTACCAAAAGGAAAGGAAAAGAACTATAAGTATATGATTTATACTGAAGAGATGGAAAATGAAGAAGACAGAGATATGGTTATGTTGCATTTAGTCAGAAGAAACAACAAAAGCTTTTACGACCTTGCTAAGATTTACAAATCTGACAGAAATTGGTTCTATCGCGAAAACTTACCGATTTCAATGACACCAAATGAAGATGTGAAACAAATAGTTCAAGATACGTTACCTCAAACACACTATGATATTAAAGGTTGTACAATACTTACCTTCAAAGAAGATTTGCCGCTACTGAAAGAAAAAATAACAGAGTATTTTGACAACTTCAAACAAGCAGAGTAAATGAACCATTTATTTTTCAAGCTTGACTTCAGATGGCTCAGGTAGCTCTATAAGGTAAATTGCCTTGTCAAATCCTTCTGGCATTCCGAGTCCTTCCTTCCGACAGGAAAAAAATTTCCTTCCGACAGGAAGAACTCTTCCTTCCAACAGGAAAATATTTTCCTTCCGACAGGAAAAAATTTTCCTTCCAACAGGAAAAAATTTTCCTTCCAACAGGAAAAATTTTTCCAGTTGTCCGTCCGTAAACCATTCAAATTTTCGAAAATTGAGAACTTTTTGGTCGAACTTCAGAAAAAGTTTTTCCTTCCGACAGGAAAAAATTTTCCTTCCGACAGGAAAAAATTTTCCTTCCAACAGGAAAAAATTTTCCTTCCGACAGGAAGAACTCTTCCTTCCAACAGGAAAATATTTTCCTTCCGACAGGAAAAAATTTTCCTTCCAACAGGAAAAAATTTTCCTTCCAACAGGAAAAATTTTTCCAGTTGTCCGTCCGTAAACCATTCAAATTTTCGAAAATTGAGAACTTTTTGGTCGAACTTCAGAAAAAGTTTTTCCTTCCGACAGGAAAAAATTTTCCTTCCGACAGGAAAAAATTTTCCTTCCAACAGGAAAAAATTTTCCTTCCGACAGGAAGAACTCTTCCTTCCAACAGGAAAATATTTTCCTTCCGACAGGACACAAACGAATGTCCGACGTACCACCAACCGAGTCCATTCCAAAGCCAGAAGAACCGAAAGCTGCAGAACCACAACAGACTAAGACTAAACACTTACATTTTTTACGCTTGACTTTTTACAATTTGAACTTTGTTTGCGTAGATATGAATTCTGAAAGAAGTATGAGGGTCTTGTATGACTTTGTACTTCTCCCATAGTTCATGTCTGTCAAACTTACCTGCCATGGACTCTTTCATAAGTTCCATGAAATCGTCTTCGGACAATCCGGGGAAAAGTATAATGTCAGTAAGTATTCTTTTAACATCCTTACTTAAACTCTTTGCTGTCTGTACACATATTACGACTGAAATGTTAAAGTGTCTGAGCTTCTTAAGAATTCGACACATGTCTTGTTCTCTATTCTTTAACAAAGGATGAGAGGCGAAATCATCTAAGATAAGAAGACACCTATGAGGGTAAGTCTTCCAATCGTAAGATTGCAATTTCTTCGAAATGTATTCTATCTCTTTCTGTTTGTTTCTGAAGTGTTTCTTCTCTAATATTCTCTGCATTTCCTCATTTGGGTCTTTAAACTTCGAATTGACATACTCATTTATAGCATTATACTTCAAAACTCTTCTTTGGTACTTCTTTATCCAATCTAACAACTCAGTATCCTTTATACATACTAACTTAGACTTCTTTATAATATCTTTGAACGAATTGACGGTTTGGTCAAATTGACCAGAAGTACTACAAATGACAACTAACTCATAGAATGGGTTCTTCTCATCTAGTTCTTGTTGTTGTGCAGCCATTTTAAGATAAGTGAAAGTCTTACCCGACCCAGGTGGTGCAATTAGACCTGTTATACCATTCTGAGCAAATAAGAACTTGTCATGTATGGGTTTTATCTGAGCATTTTCCAACTTCCTCTTGTTCTTATTTAAAACATTCTCAAATTTTTTGTCAATGTCAGCAAACTTTTTTTCTAACATATTTTTAGAAAAATTAAAATTTTTATCTTTTAGAAAATGTCTAGCGATTTCGCTATCTATATTCGAGACAAGCTTTTCGACAGCAAAACATCTGTCGACCATAAAATCTTACATAGTGTAAACAAGAAAGGTGAATTTTGTTCTAAAGTTCTGTTTCTGGGAATATGACAAGAACCATAAAACATTAAGCAGAGCAGTCTTAAAATTTGTCAATGACAGACTTGTTGACAGAATGACACCGATTGGAAAGATGAAGTCCAACAAAAGTTCTTAGAATGCAAAGAAGACACATGCGCTGTTCTTGAAGATGAAATAGAAAACAGAATAGAAGAGCTATTAAAGGACAAAGAACTTTTACATAAATATGGTTGCGCCAAATTTGACATAACTCCACCAGAAAAGAAGAAGAGAGAAAAGAAAGAAAAGAAAGTAGAAGAAGAGAAGAAGAACCTGAACCAATTCCAGAGAAAAAGAAATTTGACATGTAAAAATAAAATTTTATTTTTAGAACATTTCTGGGTCAATGTCAATGTTCTCTTCCTCTTTAGGAGCAAACACTGGCTTAGACTCTAAAATCTTTTTACCCAATTTACCTTGAACTTCAACTATCTTAGACTCATAATATTCATAGTCGTCTGCTTTCTTTGGTTCATAAGGTATAACAAGTTTGTATGCTTTGCCTTCTTTAAGGTTTGAAAACCTTCTGTCAAAACTTTCTTTGACTGTTAACAAACCTTCTATGTCTAAGTCTTCAAATTTCGCACCATTTTTAGTCACAATAGCAAACTTAACTGGTTCGATGTTCCAAACTTTGCTGAATGAAGACTTTTCAAAATGGTAGAAGTAAACATTCAAATATGTGAATGGGTCTAGTTCTTCTTTAAGTCCTGACATGTACTTATTTACTGAGATGAATTTCGTCATCTTTTCTATCGGATAAAAAATTTTTTTTTAAAATTTACTCAGAAAAATTATTTCTTTCTATATTTGCCATTCCGAACTTCGAAAAGATGTTTTATACCAGCATAGAATTTTTCTCTAGAGCTTGGTCTTATATCGTTTTCATGACAATATTTTCTATATTCTTCATATAAAGCCTTTTTTTCATACATTTCATAAGGACAATCTAACCAGAATAGCGCATATCCATTTTCGTTATCTAGGTCTCTATATGTTTCTTCTGTTTGTGGAATTTCGCTTTCTCTATTTAGTTCTATGTCTATATATTGTGGCTTAAAAAGATGTGGGCAAGAAGGGTCTGGCGCTATGTAAAAAGTTAATTTTTCTGTCATCTTTTCTATCGGATAAAAAATATTTTTTTTTAAAATTTACTCAGAAAAATTTTTCTTTGTATATACACCATTCTGTACGTCTAAAAGACTTTTGACATTTGCCAAGAATGTTCGTTTAGACGCTGTCATATAACCATATTCTTGACAATATTGTTTATACGAATCGTACAATGACCTTTCATCTAATGACACAAAGTCAGTTTCATCTATGAACAGTTCATATACACTCTTGTTTGCTTCTAACAATGTTTGTCTCTCTTCGGTATGTGGAATTTGTCTTGGATTGAACTTAGAAATATCTAATGTCATGAAATATGAGAACAAGTGGTTGTAAAAGTCAGATGTCAAAGTTTCTGCTAAGTCGTCAAAATATTCTGTATCTTGCATATGAGAATCTGACGTTCTGACAACTACATATCTTCTGTCAGAACTTTCTAATTTCATCGGAACAGCATTGTTTGAAACCATAATGAAGTTTGCAACATTTTCACAAACTCTTTGGTCTTTATACTTTCTTTCAACAACTCCAACTTTGTCTGTTATAAGACTCTTCAAAGCATCTGAGTTCAAAACTTTTGTTGTATCTATACTTTGAAGTTCATTGCAAACTATAAGTTTCATATTCTCTATTGAGGAGTTAAACTTGCCACAGATGTTTTCTAAGTTTGTCATATTCGGATTCGAATAACCTTCTAACAGTTTGCATAAGATATCTGTAAAGAAAGTATTCTTACCAGTTCCTTGTTTTCCAATTATAATGAGAGCAGTTTTCATTTTTAGCACTTGATGTTGTAAGATATTTGCAAACCAACATAAGATATACTCATAAACCTTTTCGTTTCCATTGCATATAATTTCTTTGACATGGTCTAACCAAGCTTCTATAATATTTTCTTTCCATTCTACTTGTTCATATTTATATCCAGTGAAGATAGAATAGAAGTTTGGAGAAGGTGTATAAAACTTTATACCACGAACTGAAAAATCTTCTAACTTTGACAATAAGATATCCCAAGCATCTAACATCTTCATGCCAACTTGTACGACTTTTATTTTCTTAAGTTTCTGTCTACATTCTTGTTCTGAAACTATTGTTGCTCTTGGTTTGTTAAAGACTACATCCCATTCTTTCATAACATAACATTCTGGGGCAGAGTCGACATAAATGACTAAACGTTTCAAATTCTCGACTGCTTTGTTATAGTCTCGAAATGGACACATATTTCTGAATGCTTGGAAGTCATAAAAATCTGAAACATCTATTCTGTACATTTTTATAAAAATAAAAAAAATATTATTTTTTTATTCTTGAGCTATTTGTTGCATTTGTTGTTCTTGAGCTATTTGTTGTTGAAGTTGTTCTTGTAATACAATACTTTCACCAGTTGCATCTTCCAATTCGAAACTTTCTGCCGTCATTGACAAATACATAGGACATAAAAGTTTTACAGGAACAAAGTTTGCGTCAACTAAGGTTAAGTTTATGTTTGCTAAAGTGTTTGAGTTTACTAAAGCTGAAAACTCTGCATTCGAATGAACAATAGGCAAACCAGCAGAGAAAGTGTTGTTTATACGCATAAGTATCTTTTGGTCATAGTAGTTTCTGTCGACATTCGAATAACACTTTGAACCTAAGTTTGAAACAATATATAAAATAGGTGTACTTAAAGTCAATGGAACAGACATTCCTTGTATGACACCTTTTCCTGTTATAGGAAACTGTTGGTAGTAAAAACCAGATATAAGTTTTGTATTATAGCTCATATTGTTTATAGTAAACTCAGTCGGACATCCAAACATAATGAAACCTGCTCTAGTTGCAGCACATGTTACACCCGTACTTAAAGTATTAAATAAGTCAACAAAACCTGTTGGTGGTATATCTGAGTAAGTATCTTCAAAGGAGTATTTTTTACCATTCACAACAATAAAATCTTCTGGTGTCAAAAGAGCAAAACAAGCTTTAGTCGTCATTGTGTTTAAGGTTAGTTTACAATATCGTCCTTGAGGACTTTGTAAGTTTGTTGTTATAGAATTATATGACTCAGGGTTTTTAGTCGTAATAGTATAAACCATTGTGTCTTCTGCCATTTACTTAGCAAATAAATTTTAATGAAATGTTGTGGTCGTCAAATATTTTTATAACGTCTGGGAAACTATATTTTAAGTTCAACGTTTCACCTCCTTTCATAACGTATATCTTGTCAATGACATTATATGAACAACCACAGCAACTAACGTCGGGTTCTATTTCTTTGATGTTTTATATCGTCTGCCTCTGTCAAAAGTTTCAATAGTTCTTTCAAACTTCATGAGGTGCAATGACATATGAGTTCACTTTTACAGGGTTGTGTTCGACCAAGTTTAACATTATACCTAAAGCTTGACAAATCTTCTCCTGAGTTTGAAGTTTGTCTTTCAGTTGTTGGTAGTCGTTTCGAATATCTGCAACAGAACTTAAGTCTCTGCTAACTTCAGGGTATGTTGGTTGTTCTTTTACAGGAACTATTGTTATACCATTTTCGTCTTCGTATGGTTTCCCCACTTCAACATCTCTGTCTTTGACATTGACAACAACACTTTGACTGTTTGTTTGAGTTGGTGAATTTAACTTCACATCTGCCACCGCCATTAAACCTTTTGAAACACTTACGCTTTCTATTTTTCGAAATGACATTTTACTTAGATAAAAGATGGACGTATTTGGGTATCTCTTCGAATTGAAGCAGAACAAAGTTTACACACACAAACAATACAAGTTCTTGACAGAATAGTTCTTTACACAAACAATGGAAAATGTTATAGAATAGCAGTCTTTGCTGAACCAAAATATTTTCATAAAGCAAAGAAAGTTGGTATAACTGAAATGGTGAAAGTTCTTGAAGCAGACAAAAATATAACTTCAAAAACTTACAGATATTTCTAAAGGTAAGTTTATAATACAATATTATGTCAAAACTGGCGTAGTCAATATTTGACGGAGAGAAGTCAGTTCAAGAACAACTTACTGACCTGCTGCCAAAATCTGCTCGATGGAAGCTGTCGTTATACCAATCTGAGGAGCCCCAGCAGGTTTCATCGAACGAATCTTCAAAAGAGCATCTTCCGTGAAAAGTGCTATTGGTTTTGTAAACTTCTTTGCTTTCAATTCATCTGGACCGTCTCTGTCACCAGTATATTGTATTTGTACAGTACCAACAGTTGAAATACCACCCATAAAGTCTTCTGAGTCAGCAAATGGAATGCCAAGCCAAAAGTTTGAACGGTCTCCATTTGTATATTGAGTTTTTTGACCTCCTGTATGAGTCCATACTTTCACATATGGCATAATAGAACTTTGCATTTCAGGGTTAATGGTTGTTGTGAAGTTGTTGTTAAAGTTCATAGCATCTAATGTCAAGTTGTATGACCTCATATCCTCAACTGTAGAATATTCTTCTCTTGGATAATATTTGCCATCTATGTTTATATGATATTTAATACCGGGGTTGTAGAAACAAGAATAGTCATTTATAGTTCGTCTGAACAGTACAAACATAGTATCTGCATGTTTCATTGCAGTTGTTAAAGCAATATCTGTTCTTGCACCTGCGGCTCCTGGATTTTGGTTTCCAACTTCACCTGCAAAGTCTTTGACAGATATTTGGTGTATAGGGAACATAAGTGGAACTGCAATATATTTGGCAGCTAAAGCATTTGAAATATCTGGGTCCAACATATAGACTGCAAGTCTGCTTTCTATTCTCTTGCATTCAAATTTTTCGCATGTAAACTTAACTGGGTCCCAAGCAGTTCCAGCAGCATTGAAATAATAGTTTACTTCATTGTTGAAGTTTGAGAAACCAAAGTCTAAGTCAACTTTGTCTTTGCAAAATTCGGCGAATGACGTTTGATTTGTTCCCTTTACGTCTGTAATAGTGAATGGGTCTTGTGTTGGTGCAATGACTAAGTTATTTTTGCTTGGAGTAAGTTCGATAGAAATTTTTCCTGCCCAGTTTGGCAAGTATCTTAAAAACCTGAAGATGAGGAAAGATGACAAAGGAACTCTAAGTTTCAGTTTTACTTTAGTGGCAGCAGTTCCATCTGAACCAGAAAGGTTAACATAAACTCCTGGAACGTTAGGGTCAAGTCTTCTTATTTTCTCAATATTTGCATACTGGTCTGTTTGTTCTCTAGCTTGTGGTTGTACTGAGTTTCTCAAAGCGAACCATTCATAGTTTGCCCATGTTACTGTTTGAACTAAGTCAGAGTTAGAATATATCTTATATCCCATGAAAACTTCTGGAGCATATTGGTATCCGACATAGAAAATTCCATTGCAACCTTTCTTGTCAGACAACTTGGCAGAAGGTTTTATTTCAATGTCTTGTTCCACGTATAAGAATGAGTTGTCAATAGAAATAATATGAAACCTGTCGCAAGCAATATCTACTGTTGTTGAAGAACCTTCTCCAAACTCACCTACGTTTCCATAAGAAACAGCAGTTGTATATTCGTAAGTTCCAGGAACTATTTCTGACCTTCTAATGGCATTGTCGCATTCGTTATACCATTCGGAAACATTTCCGTTCATGGCATCCAAAACTGTTGGCGTTATATTCTGAGCGGCGTACATTTCATATGGGTAAAAATATCGAATAGTTGGAATTATGTGTCATAATAGAACCCACTCGGACCAAGCTTTACTTTCTTCCTGACTGAGTTTTTAACTCTTCTTTTTCCTTCATTGCCACTACTTTCACTAGATGAAGTTACTTCTTCACTATTTTCACTTTGTTCTACTCTTCTTCTTTGGTGTCGCTTTTGGTAACTTGCCCTCTGCTTCAAGTTGTTGCATCTTTGCCTCATGTTCACCTAGTATGTTGTAAATTTCCCATGTCCTTTTTGCCTTTGGGCTCTGGTCGCCCATCTCAGGTAACCTATATCCTAGAAAGATTTTGTCATAGTTTGTATTTGAGTCTTCGCGTATTGTTTGCATGACTCTTTCCTGAGTTTCCGGTTCAAGCTCTTCAAACAGAGCTTGTCCATATGGAATAAGCTCGTTTCCAAATATATGTTTTTGTAGCCATTCTGGTTTTCTTTCCATGTTACCAATAATATCTTTTGTGAATGGGAAAGCTTTTACCCAATGTTTCAGTCTTGCGTCATTTATTTCTGTAGTTGGTTTTATTTTGTCAAGGAACATGTTTTTCAATACTAACATTTCATTTGGTACTGTCCATTTGAGTTTTCTTAAATATTCATCCCTTCTCGGTTCATTGTCTGCAAAGTAAGTTTTTATGACATTTTGTAAACTTTCGTTTGCAAGGTCATGTACAATAGGTTCTCTTCCTTCTCTCTCCCTAACTTTCTTTCTAAACTCTTCACCAAATATACCATCTCTATGGTTCTGTGTAGTTCTTTGAGATAAATGTTCTAGAACGTCAGGTGTTATATTTCCATCAGCCATGTTCATTTCATACTGGTTCAAAATATCTGCATCTTTCATATCTTTCAATGGCATTAAAGCCGCGCTGAAAATACCAGCTATATCTGGTTCACCATTCACTTCCATTGCGTCTACAACTTCTTGGAATTGAGGTTGTAAGTTTATGAACCACCTATCCGGATTAGCTTTATGACCCCATCTCATTGTAGTTCCATAGTCTGCAGAAAACAAAAGTAGGTTTGTTTCCATATTGGTTAGGTTCTGAATGAACTTTAAACAATGTTTCATTTCTATATGTTTTGGTGAAATTTAACCTTTTATTTTCACCGAGTTCAGCCAAAGATTGAACGTTATATGGTCGTAAGTAAAAAGGATTGTTGTATTTGCGTACACTTTCTTTCAGTTCTTCCATTCTATGCTGAATATTTTCATCTGATGTTGGAGTCTTTTGTATGTCGGCGAACATTTTTCGATATTCTTCTACTATGTCAGCCGAATTTTTCTTAGACTCTTGGAAAGATTCCATATTCTCCGCATACTCTTGTTGAGGGTCAAGATTTTTCGGCTGTGCCAAATCTTCATCTAGTTCTGTGAAGTTAGTTTCCAAAGGAGGGACTTGTTTGTTTCCTTCAGGCTCTTCTAGCTGTTGTTGCTGAACTATTTTTTCCATGTCTGGTTGTATCTGAACTTCTTCCTGTGGAGTTTCTTGTACCTCATCTGCTGGCATTTCATATATTCCGAGACCGTTTTTAACAAGTTCCCTATCTAAGTCATCCGGACTCATAAACCTTTCTTCTTTCGTTCCGTCTCTATTTTTTACGCGTTTCATGAAGATAGTTGAATTATCATTTATCTCTGACATCAAATATCTCGGAGTAAATTCATCCATGTCATTTGGATGATATGCTATTAAATCATATCCCTTAGCGAGCTTGTATTTTCCAGGTTTGAAATTATATCCCATTTGGTGCTGAACCATAAAGCTAAATAGGTTCGGGTCAGTATTTCCTTCCTTGAACTTTCTAATAGCTTCTTTATATCTGTCACTAAAGTCAAGAGTATCTGGGTAACCATAATTTTCCTTAAGCATTTTTAAGAATTCTTGGTTTCCTTGTTCTCTACTTCTTTTATGTCCTTGCTCTGTTTGTGGTTGTGGTGCAGTGTTTTGAACTGTTGGTTGTGGTGCAGTGTTTTGAACTGTTGGTTGTGGTGCAGTGTTTTGAACTGTTGGTTGTGGTGCAGTGTTTTGAACTGTTGGTTGTTGTGTTGGTTGTTGTGTTGGTTTTGGTGCATGCCTGTGTCTGTGTCCATGTGACGATGTAAATGTTTTAGGTAGTCCTGGTGCAGGTGCTTCTCTTGGAGGGTTTGGTGGTATATAAGTTCCACTAGCTAGTATATAAGTTCCACCAGCTGGTATATAAGTTCCACCAGCTGGCACATATGTTCCATCTGCAGCATAATGTCCTACCTGACTTTTCGTTTTTAAGAAAGCATTTACTAGGTCTGTTTTGGTCTGTTGTAACTCTTTTTCTTGACTTTCCACAACAGTTGCTCTAACGGCGTCATAGGCACTTTGAACTGCATGTCTCGTTGCTGCATCTGTTATTTTCGTCATATTTTGTGCTACTTCTTTTAACTCTTTGTCGAAACCTTCAGACTTCAGTTTCTTTCCAGATGAGAAGTCGTTCACTAGTTTCACCTTACTATGAAGAGCTTCGAAGGCGTTCTTAAAGTCAGCATTCATTAAAGCTTCATTTGAACTGTCTTCATCCGCTTGTATTTTTGTCCTTATTGACCCTATAAGTTGGGCTGCTTTGGCGTTGGCTTGGGCATCTAACCAGTCATTATTAGCTTTTATATATTCTGCGCTTTTCATTGCCTTTTGCATGGCTGCGTCGTTATTTTTACTTTCTTGTGCTATGTTTTCATACTGTACGGTTTGGTTTTGCAACTGTAAAAGTTTTTCTGCCTTTACATTTGCTTCAACTTCTTTTTTATACTCATCGCTATCCATATATGTCTTCAGGGCTTTTTGTTTTATCTCTTCATCTTTCAGTACTTTATATTGAGTAGTATGGTTTTTCAAATTTACAACATCTTGTTCCATTTTTGCTACTTCTGCTGCTTTTTCTGACACTTTTTTCGCATATTCCTCTGTACTTAGTTCTTTCAGTTGTTCTTCTTTCTTCTTTTTCTCTACGTTTAACTCATTGAGTTTCTTTGTGTGTCTGTCATATTCTAGTTTCTTTTCGTTTTCACTTATTTGCTTCTGTATGTCTATGTTTGACTTTTTGACATCTGATATTTGATTTTTGAGTGAACTCAAATTCATTTGACTTTGAGGGTTATAAGCTGTTCCGTCTGCAGCTCCACCATAGCCTGCCATTTTCGCTAAAAGTGCCGCTCTTAAACCTCCACTCTGTGCACCAATAACTCGGTTTAAAAGCATAGGATTGCTTGACATTTGTTGCAACATAGTGGGGTCATTCATCATTTGTTGTTGCAACTGTTGTTGTGGTGTCAGTTTTACTATTGGATGTTTCAATGCTCTCTTCCTCTTACGTATATTCTTACGTAGCTTACGTGGCATTTTAAGTGAAGTTAAAAAGCGGTTTTTGACAGATGTTTATATGACACTTTTTGTTCAGCACAAAAAACTACTCGGTCAAAGTGTTGTCAGTTTTGTAAAATAACCGTCTTATCTCATTCTATAAGGGGGAAAGTCTTCTCAAAGTATACTTCCTTGGAACGCCTGTAACTTTTCCTGTAGCGACGATAGACCCTTACTTGTCCGGACAAAGTTATACTAAACATCTTCAGGGCTAGAGGGCACGAAGTGCCTGGAAGCCCCACTACCTTTCTTTTTTTTTTTTTTATGAAATATCAATTTTTGCTTTACGCCTAATTTTTGGCGACAATTAGCAAAAAATGTTAAATGTTAACACTCAGTCCATTTGAATATGAAAAATAAAATTGACTTTGATTAAATGTTTTTATTTATCATGCAATTCTTCTTGCGACCAAAGATTTGAATAAAATTTCAAAAAATAAGATAGCTTAAAAAATGGGGTATTATTATTGTCGTCTGGCGGTTTTAGACGACAATACGAATTTTCAAATAATAGGATTTTTAGCCAGATAAAGAGCTACTCCATATATCATGCGTGTTTGCATACTATATACATAGATGGAATTGATGTTCTTCCTTTATTTAGGTACCGAAACATGCTTGAAAAATCTATTTTTTAGACGACAATGATAATTTTGTCACTTTTCCAGACGACAATAATAATTTGTCACCTTTTTAGACGACAATAATAATTTTGTCACTTTTTCCAGACGACAATAAAACATCCTCTTAAAAAATAATATACGGTAGTGTTTACTAATAGATGAATAGTATATAAATTCTATTAAAATGGATTTGATCCAAAAAATATATAAAATCTGATCATAAATAAAATCGTTTTAAATTACTTCTTCATTTAAATTATAACAATTATTTTTGATTTTTATTTATCATCCACATTCAAATTTGAATCTTATCACAAAAGAAGGACCACTTTTATGACTACTGCCAAATCTATAAGCAGAGAATGGCTATTTGAAGCTAAAAGAAGAATAGAAGAAGGTGAATCTTACAAAAGTGTGGGAAAGGAAGTTGAATTGGAAAATGGTAAAATTAAATTGAATGTTGCCGAAAATACAATAAGAAGAGCATTTCAACTTCAAGAAATCGAATTACCAAAAGTTAGTCGCGGCAGAAAACCAAATCCACCAACATTTGAGCAAAAACAATTAATTAATTCTTGTGTTTCACAATATAAAGGAGGAATTTCAAAAACTTATTTATTGATTAAAAGGTTTCAAAATATTGCTCAAAATCCCGATTGTGAGAAAGAAAAAGAAGAAATTGCAAAAGAATTTGAAAATATAGAAGATTTGACAAAAGATCAAATTTTTGACAATTTACAAAAAATAAAGCATCATCAAGTGGAAAAATTTATGATGGAATCAGGTTTATCTTCAAAAAGAGATTACAAACCAGCAGATCCACCTACCAAATATCGTGCCATATCAAAGAATTTGATATGGCACTGCGATATTCATTACCTTCACGGTAATGTTTCTTTTCCATTTTTTGCCATATTGGATGATATGACACGTAAAGTTCTCAAAACTAAATTATTGAAAAACAAGTCTTCCAACTCAACAGCGAAGGTTTTAAGAAAACTTTTAGAGGAGTTTATTCCTTACTGCATCTGGACCGATAACGGCGGTGAAAACCGCGGTGAATTCGGCCAGGTTATGCAGGAAAACGGAATAGTTTGGAAGCACACCTTGCCGTATATGCCAAGACAGAACGGCAAGGTGGAGCGCCTGTGGCCAAGCTTAGAAAAGTTTTTGCCAGACGAGTTGGATGATATTCAACAAATCAAGGACTCAGTTCAGCAGTTCATTGAAAAATACAACAATACACATTTATCTCTCGATATTAATCCAAAAACGAATAGTAATTACACTCCTAACGAATTATTCGAAGTTTCAAAAATTTTGGTACGAGCCAGAAATGCAAAAATGGGAGTTATATATCAAAGACGAATGGGTCTTAGCAAAATTTGAATAATTACATCATTTAAAATGACTACTAAACAATTTTATTTATGATCAAATTTTATATATTTTTTGGATCAAATCCATTTTAATAGAATTTATATACTATTCATCTATTAGTAAACACTACCGTATTATATTATTTTAAGCTATCTTATTTTTTGAAATTTTATTCAAATCTTTGGTCGCAAGAAGAATTGCATGATAAATAAAAACATTTAATCAAAGTCAATTTTATTTTTCATATTCAAATGGACTGAGTGTTAACATTTAACATTTTTGCTAATTGTCGCCAAAAATTAGGCGTAAAGCAAAAATTGATATTTCATATGGTTTTATGATAGATAAGCATTATATTCCCACTCATTATATTCGTAAATTTTGAGGTTTATCCTTCGCTTTTAAGATTATTGAATTTGATTTTTATATAAAATAGTTATATATTAGAAAATAATATGAGTTTATGTGATATTATTTTTCAGAAGATTTTGTGTTCTTCTTCAAAATTTTATTTTTTTATTAAAAAGAATCTTTACAAAATATACATTTGCTTTAATTAATATTTAAAAACGTGCTCTATCAAAAGTTCCAAAAATTCAATATTTTAGCTTTTCTGAGGTGTCACTTTTGATGAATTTCTGTTTACAACAGAATTATGCAAAATATGACTAAATAATTATAAATTTCAAGTTAAATTTTAATTTTGATAAATAATTTAAATTTCAAAATATCAAGTTCAGTTCGACTATGTATGTAGTAATTCCTCAATAAAGTGCCAAAACCCTATTAAAATATATGAACATTTTCAACATTTTAATGTTTTTATTTAAAATTTTGATGGAATATGAGCTTCAAACAATTATTATGTAAATAAAAATAATTAAATATATGTATTTATTCGTATTACAACCGTAGTAAGTCGATTCTTCCTTTCTTCTACTGAGGTTTGAATTTGATTTCGAATTGTAAAGAGATTCAAAGGGAAAATACTAGAGGATAAAAACTACCTCCATGAAAGGGTCATAATGGAGTCAAGTTGTATTTTTTGATATTTTTTGCTTTTCGAGCCTAAATAGGTAGCCAAGATAATGCCTAAAAATAAGGTTCTAAATTCTGAAGTTTACATGATCCTCTCGTGTGCACCCTTAATCATTATAAATTTTTTCCCTCTTTCTTATAACGTTCTAAGTTTTTTATTTACTAAAAAGAGTAAGAATAGCTGAAATATGCTTTCTAATTAGACACAGGCAAACAAACAGAACTAAATTTGGTAAAAGGAGAAAAGAAAAAAAATTATCAAATTCTTTATTAATAATTTTCCAATCTATTTTTTTAAAAAACAAATATCACACCCCATTCATTTGAATTTTTCAAAATTCGAAAATAGAATTATCAATGTTAACTCCAAATGCAAGCCTCATCGATGACGTAAATGCTATTGAAGATGATGAAGCCGATGCACTCGCAGATCAAGATGAAGAGGATATCGAAATGATTAATGAAGATGCGCATTATAGAGTTCAAGCCGAAATTTTAAAAAATGATCATGCAATTCAATATCAAAAACAAATTGACAATATTAAGGATTCATACAATGAAGAAACAAATCAAATACTAGAAGAAGGGAAAAATTTATGCCTGAAAATGGTGGAAGATCAACGAAAAGAAGTCGAAAATCTTGAAAACGAATGGAGAACTGCTCGCAAAAAGCAAATAGATCAAGATTTGGAAGCAAGTAATTCAAAATTGGCTACTGCAAGGGTATTAGCATCATTTCAACTTATCGATTCTGCAAAAACTTTACGTGATACTACCCGAAAACAATCCGCAACACGATCTTCTGAACTGAAAATACTTGATGATCTTTTCGAAAAGCAATACCGCCTAATGATTGAACGCCATTCTAAAGATTTCATTTTACTTCACGAAAGAGTTAAAGCTCAAATTAACAATTCGAAGCTTGATGCAGAGCTACTTAAAAAACAAGCGGATTATACAAAAGATAATCAGGATTCTCAGATTCCAATCGTAATGATTTCATCTGTCAGTATGCAAGCCAAATTTGATACAACTAAGCGCAGCATAATACAAACATTTTCACCAAGACCAGAAAAACGTATTTAGTAAATAACTTTTTATTTTTTTTATTCTAAAAATAATAATCATTTTAGCCTGCACGAAGAGCTAAAACCATGTGTAAAACTTCACCAGCAGATATGTGGGCTGTTTCAACAGTTTGATTGTCTGTAAGATTTTGACCTCTAAATAATAAACGCTGCTGCTCTATTGAAATACCTTCTCTTTGAAGTAGTTCTTCTTTAATTGCTGCTATTGTGATGCTCGGTTCAACTTCTAATTGATGTTTTCTTCCAGAGACAGTATGTACATATATCAGCATTTAAATTTTGACACTTTTTAAAGTTTCTTTTAATGTTAAATAGTTTAGCAAAGCATCAAAACAGTCTATTTTGAAATCAATATGATCAATCGAGTCAATGGGCTCCAGTTATTTTGAAAAGTCTCAAATGATATAACTCAGATGGTAAAATAAATTCTTTCTGATTGAGTCAGATATCATTTTTTTCAAATGAACAAGATACACATCTAGAAGTGATCATAAAAATAATCATACCTCGAAGTAATTCAATACAATCGTTTGAATGAACGAAAATTGAATAAAACATTAGTTAAGAATTGCTTGCAAAACACAGATGGTTGTTATTAAAATTCATTTTAGCCACAATGTTAATACAAAACAACTTTTCGGGAGAAGTTAATTAAAAAATATAATAAAAACTTTATTTTTACTCAATTCTATCGAATATTTTACTTATCCTCACAATACACAATCCAAGTTTGATATACTTAATTTAAGAATAAATGATGATGGGATTGATTTTGAAAAATTAACCAAAATATTACAAAATCATCGATTGCCCCGCGAAAAAGCTAAACAGATCATATACAAATTAAATCACCAATATACATATCATGGAAATTTCTTAATTAATAAAAAATTACGGAATATAAGTTAACTATCTTCATTATAAATTAAGCAGCATAAAAATATGAAGTTTTCCAATTTCCGGTGTGAATATTCCTAAATTTGCATTACATTCTCGAAGCAATTTATCAAAATACACAAAAATATATTACAAATCAAGGAATTGAATTAAAAATAATTAAAGAACGAAAAAATTCATATCGGTGAAAAATTTCAAGCACCTTTTCAACTTTTTCAAAAAGTTAATAATATTAAACTATGTATGCCTGGGTAGTTATTCTTGCAACAATTATATTCTGCATACTATCTATTCTTGTTGGCATTTACTTGGTTGTTAGATTCCAAATGCCAGAAGATAAAAAGTCTTCATGGTTTATCAAAATTATCATCATTTTAACTATCGGCATTTCAGTAATGAACGTTTTAATTTTACCTCTCGACGCACTTAATAGGTCAACGCCAAATCCAATGAATACCACCCTTATGTGTTGGATTTTGACAATAATTTCTGCCGTTCTCGCTTTCATTGTCATTCCTTTCACACTTACATACTATGAAAACGCAGAAGATGAAGATGTTAAGCACCCAATCTGCAAAGCAACATTAAGTGTTATTCCATTCCTTTTGTTCTTTATAATATTTTTACTCATACTCTACTTCCTTGTGAGCGATTGCCAAATTCCAGCAACAATTCATGCTGGCAAAGTTGTCGATGAATCCGAACTTACCACATCAATATATAGTTGTTCTACTTCAACAACAATTGACATCAAACTATCGCCACTTATTTTTGTTGTTACTGTTATAGGTTTCATTGGATATATAATCTTGATTATTTTGGGTGGCATGGGATTTGCCACGCTTCCAATCAATCTCTTTATTGATTTCGTTCGTAGACCAAGACCAATTTCTCTCAAGCAATATGCCAAGGGCCAACAATTAATCAATCGCTGGGCTGAGGAGCTTATCGAGGAAGGCAACAAAATCCGAGAAGAAGGAAAGCATAAAGGCTACAAAAACCGTAAAGTCAAGAGAATGGTAAATAAATATGCGGATCAAATCGAGAATATGGAGCGTGCATACCAGCTTATCGAAGTATCATACAAAGTTCGTGGAGGAAATCCGGTTTGGCCATGGTGTGAACTATTCTTAGGCATAATTTGCATAATAATTTCACTCATTTGGATCATTCACATCATTGTTTACACTTTCTTAGATGTTCATCCATTCTTAAATCAATTCTTCCATTTGCTAGATACTAAATTTGCACTATCTGCAGTTATATTCTTTGGCCTGTTCACATATTACTTGTACTTATGCGTCCTCTCAGGAGCTACTTCTTTCGGTTTGAATTTACTCATTATCAGAGTACATCCTATGGAAGATCAGAATACTCCAATGAATTCAATCTTGTTTAACTCATGCCTTATGCTCTTTGCCAGCTTTGGTGTTGCATTATTTTCAACAATGAACTTCCCGATTTATACAAGACTTACTGCTTTAGATATGATCTATGGCGTTCAGATGAAATATCTCAAAGGCCTTAAATACGTTTGGGAGTACGCAATTTATGTATTTCTCGGAATTTTCGTTATTGCTCTTGCAGTTAAGCTTATTTCTTGCAGTAGAAAGAAGGGAAGAGATGATCGCAATTCTGAAATTAGAAAAGCTCTTTCTACTTATGACACTGATATTGTCAATTAATACTGTAAAATTTATTTTTTTTTCTACACTATATATAAAAATTACTCTTTTACTTCTTATTTTTTAGTGATGGCAAAATCTTATGTACTTTTTAAGAAAAAAAAATTTTTTATGAATACAAACATAAAACAAAGATAGAAATTAATAAGTTGTTAGCAAGGCATTGATTATTGTTCCAATGATAATACCGGCAACGAAAGAATATGCTCGAACATCGATATACACCAACATAACTGATGGTATACCAAAGAAAAGCCCAAAAATCAAGCCATACAAGAAATCTTGCCCAGGAAAATCAATACCATTATCTGTTTGATTCCTGTCATCATCATTATTATTTATTAAAGGTGAATTATGGGCATTATTGTTTTCTGTATGATCATTATTAGCTTGTTCATTTTGAGGATGCTCATGAGCTGCATCTGCTTCTGTAGCTTGGTTTGGTTGTGCGGGAACTGCAAAATTCTGAAGATTAGGAAGATTTGCTCTGATCATGCTCCCAATATCTCGCTGATTGAAAAGTACAGGAAACCATTCTTCCTCAAGGTCTATCATTGATTGTTGTGAACCATCTTCAGGTTGATGAGTACTATGAAATGAATTCCTAATCTCTTGGATTTGCTCAGGAGTGTAATTCATCCTTCGAAGCCTATCAAATCCTCTTAAATCGTTAATAATTATCTCTTCATTATTATTATTGGGCGAATTGGGATCATTTCGAAAAAACCTTGTATAGTAAACTCTGTCATTGAATCAAAACTTGATAAGATCTCATTACCAGTTAATATTCGTCCGCGATAAATGAGCGTAAGTATTTTATTTCGAGGAATTTGAACATTACTGTCATTTTTGATCATACTTATAAGGTCTTTTGTTGTATTTTGAGGTTGTAAATTGAATTGAAGATGTTTATCTCCGGGAAGGATAACATTAATCTTCAGCATATTTAAATTTTGAAATTTTTAATCGTCAAAAATTGTTAATGCTAATAAATTCCTTAGAATTCTTAAGAATTATCACCATTATATAAAAGAATTAGAGTTTATATTAACTTACATATACAGAATACTTGCAAAGGAATTTTTTTTCTTAAATTAATCTTTAGAGGTCAAAATGAAAGAGAAAATTAAGTAAAAAACTGTTTAGAGAATAGTATTTACCAGCCATAAGATAAAGGCTGTTCCAATGGGGCGTTCTTCTTTGAGTTGAGAGAATCTTCCTTGGCACAAACTTTCCAGAATGCAATACATGCGGCAATGAATAAGATGAGAGCAACAACACCAAAAATTATGTAGCCATAAATAGCATATTTTTTGATTAGAGTATTCAGCTTGCCATAACATGTATTTCATTGGATTCATTCCAACCTTTACAACCTAAATAAGTTTCAGCCTCTGGTATAGCACGACCGATAGGATCATCTTTACCTTCGTGAGCGTTCCATTGTTTGCCTATTTCTTGAATAATATTCTTCTTGAAAAGAATGTAGACAACAATAGCACCAATAACACCACAAGAATAAATTAAAAGAATTATTCCGAGAATTAGAGATGGGCAGCGACTTTTAGATATCGAAGCATAAATAGCAAAAGCAAGAATAAATGCGGATGCGCAAAGAATGATAATTAAATAAATTAGAATGGTATCATTATTGCTGATCTGTTTGATCTTTGCTTTGTTAATAAAGACAACGCAAGCAGCGCTCGCAGCAACAATAATACCAATTGATAGGAATGAAATAATGAAAAGTGTGAAATTGGCACAACAACCCATTTCAAAATTTGTCAAAATCTAAGACGATGCCTTTTTTGTAAATGGATCCGATTGGCAAGTTTACAAAAACCGTAATTGATTTATGATTTTTTTGGATCTTTTATATAGAGATATTTCATACAAGTTCATATGAACCGAGAATGTACTATCACGAAAAGTGACACCTAAATTTCATTTTCATATGCCTCTTTATCACTTTGCTATGGTCTTAGCGATAAATTATCGGCTATAAAATTGACTTAGTTTATTTCTATACTCAAGACTCTAGAATACCCATTATCTAATTTTTTGCAAAATTAAAATTAACTCCCGAAATTATTCGAAATTAACTCGACATCATGAGATTCAGTATAAACTAGCACAGCTTCCTACCAGCATATAAACCTTAGTACCTAATATAGCTGCTATACTTTTCTGCTATGAAAATAGAGATATATTAATTTTTTCATAGAATGTCAGAAAGTGGTAAATGCAAAAAAAAGGTAGTGGGGCTTCCAGGGGCTGCGCCCCTTCTAGCCCTGAAGATGATTATTATAAATGAAGTTCTTATATACGGGTCTTCCAGGAGCTTTTCACAAATTATATATGTTTTCATGGTTTGTCACTTTTCTGTCACTTTTCGGGTAAAAACATTTTTATTATTATATATAAATGAATTTTACAAAACCACCGTTACCGTTCTTTGGAAATAAGAGTAGATGTAAAGATATTATATTGAGAGAACTTAAGAAACTACCGAATGGTCTAACATTTGTAGATTTGTTCGGTGGAAGTTTCTATATATCCCATTTGTGCCATATAATATTCCCAGACTCAAAGATTATATGCAATGACTTCGACAACTATATGGACCGTCTCAAACATATACCAGACACAAACAATATATTGAAAGAGTTAAAAGAAAAGATACCTATAGG